TGTGTGTGTGTGTGTGTGTTACTTATCAGGATTGGTTGGGAAGGGGCCTCAAATATGTTGCAGTCCAACAGATCGTTGGGAGCATGCAGACACATAAAAGCATGAACAACCAGCGAAATCGTTCAACGCCTCCAACAACAACACGAAAATTTTATTATCCATAAGTTCACTCTTGCATCTTTTTAAGGTAGTATTCCAAAGGAAGCTGTGGAAAAAACGCTTGTTTTGTTCGTTCGTGGTCGCTCAGGTTGCGGCGTGTCGCCTTCTTGCTGAGTAGTATTCGGCCGTCAAGAAGTGTGAGGAGGTTGCTGGCAAGGTTCGTGGTTCGTGGCATATGTTTGTTGGTAGATGGCGACCCAGTCGAGGCGACGCGACAGCCCGTTCTCTTCTGCTATCTCCTGGGCGCCGCATGAGACGTTGATGAAAAGCGCGAGACTTCCACGAGAGCCGCACGCGAGTCGCGTCGTAGTCGTTACTTTTACTGAAATCGCTGCTCTGAATCGCATTGGGGGCGATGTATCGATCCCATGGTTGCGCGCGGAGGAATTGGCGATTTGAATGATGTGTAAGGATCCTTGAAAAGCGCGCCTGGTTTGACACAGTATTTATAAACCTTTCTTTTTCTCAATGCGTTAAAAAATGCATTATAACAAACATCTTCATCCTACCACTTTCCTTCCATATAGGTATGGAACACGCATGATTTCGGGCATATGATTCAGGAATGCAAGACATACTGCGCAGACATGCAAGAACTCTGTTCGTGAAATTCGCAGCGGCTATCTGACTAGACTCCACTTGTATTTTGCCAACAAGGCGTTGCATTTCCTGCTTTAATTCGCTGATGTTTTGGATCAACATTACTTTGAAGTACAATTCCACATTTGTAATAGACTTTTTTGTGCCCTGAGCAAGCACATATTGCAGGAAAAACTGTAATTTCACTAGTGTATTTTCACTAGTAGTTGATGGTACTATTATAATCGAACTGTACAAAAGGTATTGTGATCGTACTATTACGTTCAAAATAGCAGTCAAAGATGCACATAATTTGCCAACATAAATACACTGTTCAACTAAAATGCACTTTCGAATTCTTTCCTTTCTCTAAATTACAAAAATACAGTAATTTGTGATCAAAAATAACTAATATGTCATCAGAATTTGTTTGTTACCTCTAGTTTTTACGATATACTAATTTCCAGTACAAAAACCAAAAATATACTTTAGAATTTTTTTTTCTCCTAAAATAGTTAAAATCCCTAATTTTGGGTCATGAATAATGAATGTGACATTGGTCATTGTTTGTGAATTGAATTTGTGAAATGAATGTGACATTGGACATTGAATGTAACAGGCCCAACCCTGGTTTTATAACTTCACTATCCTCAAATACAAAGACTTATTGGATTTCTGCTGAACAGCCATTCTGCTGAACCTAGTAAATATTATCACTCCAAGATTGTTTTTCTTATATCATTAAGACAGATTAGAAAACAGAAAACCCACAAGAATCTTTCAAAAGTTCACTGTCATCACAAGAAGGTAATGACCCATTCAAGTCTGATCTTTTGTGCATGCAATAAACTTAATTCTGCTTCAGCTTTTGCTTCTTCCACATCATTGTGGGTCTTCCAACATTTTTTTCCCATTGTCTCAAGAGCAGTAGAGGAAATGGTATCACCTTGGTGTTCATTGGTGGAATCTTATCCCTTGCATTCTTTTGACAATAGTTAACAATGTGTAATAACCATCTTTTATTTTATTTTTTTCCAATTTATATCAGTATATTTCTAATGTTATTAAATTTCAGTTATCCCTTGCAGATAGTCTCAAAAATCTTATTATAACTGTGTGCTTTTTTTTTATAGTTTCACTCTCTTTTTTTTGTGTCCACTTCTGACCCATACATTAACATCAGTATAGCTTTTATTTTATATGTTTTGAGATTGGCATCTGTTCATGTCTTTATTGGTCATACTAGTCCTGTAGAATGTATTTATTTATTACACCATCAACATCTTTCTGCTGTTGCTCTTGTTCAATTATTTTATAAGTATTTTTTGTTCTATACTAACACGCAACACTCACTGTGCTCGAAGCTCTGATTGTAATAAAATTTTACTAGCTTTCAACACTCCTTAAAATGAAACCTCAATATATGATAAATATATAAATACATACATAATTACATTTCAAATTTCAGTTAGAAGCAAAATTTTCACAATGAAGGGATCTAATGAAAAAAAAAAAAAAAGCCAGAATATACATTGTAACTTAGAACTTCATCTGCACTGTATGTAGGTTTCTTTTGCAATTTCCTTATTAAGAGCATTGGTATACAATACCCTTCAACTGACATCAATTGAATTATTAAGTATGTGTGTCACTCTGCTCCTCATACTGAAATGAGACCAACTCTTATTGCCTCTGCAATCAGTCATGAATAACGTTTGAGAGAGATCGCATAAAGGTTGGCCTGCTGATGAAGGAATGAAGGTCATGAAAGGTTTCGATGCAAAATGCCTCTAACCAATATTTCTAATACTCGAAAGCACTTCAAAATTTGGATTTGAGTTTCACATGGTGTCCTACCACCTGGTGAAATTTCATGTGACTCCGAGTATCCAGCATGGTGAGTGTTAGGAGTAAATATAGAAGAAGAGTGTAGTTAGCAATGCGAGGATCAATCCTTCGATCCTCCTATTACTATCTTCGCTCTTCTTCATTCATTTCCTTGGAAGGCCATTCATTTTCTTTCTCAATTTAAATTTTCATACTTTTTCTCCTTTTGGTATTTTTATTTTAAAAGTCATAATTCAGAATTGAAAAGTGGGGAGGGGCAATAAATACAAACTTAACTTTGTACTCAAATGTATTTTTTTTTCATACAATGTACTTCAGAAATGTCAACACTTTTGAAGACAAAAAATGATCTATACAAAAATAAACACTTTTTTTTTACAACTTACCAATTAGTATAATTATGAAACTGGAGTATAACAATTATTCTGATATTTAATCAGAAAAGCCATGTAGATATTTCATTGGAAATTCTGAATATTTCAGAACACACATCGGAATGCACATGCTGATGATCTGATAATGATCTGTCTTTCATCTGATCAGAAATCACATTACATTTTGAAATGATAAACAATGTGACATGTATTTGATGCTTTAAAAAGGTTTTTCAATACAATATACATTTCCTAGTAAAAATTTCCATTAATTAGCACACTTCATTCATTCTATAAGTTATAAAATGGAGGGAATAATTTTGAATAAACATGTAATAAGTACCTCACAAACGTCACAGATTCATACATTTTAAATGATTTCATTACCATCTATAATACTGCATGCTACTTATTAAAAACAAACATTAAAAAAATCTTCTTTCGAGTTTAATATTGACAACACTCAGATCTGAACATACTATCAAGCGCTCATTTATCAATGCTTTTAAGGCAAAGCAACCTTTCATTCATTAATGTTAAATACTACTTTGAAGAATATCACTAAAAGAGCAACAAAGCATTATTACAAAACTTAAAAACATGTCTGCAGCACATTTCACTTGTTCTTAGTTCTACAAATAGTTTTGGAAACTACTTTCCAAGCTTAAATAAAACCTGTGCTTTGTAAACCAAAAAACTTTTTCTTTTTTTTTGCCAGCGTATTATTTCTTCACTTAATGGCACTGCAATGCCCTAATTACAGGTCAAGCCTCATTAGGTATGATTAAACAAGGAAGCACATAATTTAGCCACATGACATGACCAGTAGCTTGGATTTCATCACCTACATTTCATATGAATGTATTGAATCAATACCTACACCAATAGAAGTGATGAGACAAAACACAAAATGCAATAACTGAATATACTTAATGGTTTTTTCCAATATAATTAAGTGAATGAAAATTAGAGCCACAACCAATTATTGTATGTACAATTGTGCATAATGTATTCACTACACTATTAATAACATATCATTTTTTTAAAAAAAGATCAGGAAGCCATTTAGAGTTAATTTTCACAACATTGCTTCATTATTTTTTATATAATTCCCTGTCCTTGGATATTGATATTTTAAACTCCTTTGCATTGAAATTAATTAAAATAAATTGGGTATGTTTTAAATAACAAAATATAATATAGTTACTTTAAAACAATTACTTACAGAGACTGACAAACATTGAGGCTACTTCAAAACAATATCAAACACAAATCGTCTATAATAAAAGGCCAGTTTACTGGCTAAGAGGGGTTATGCATTCCATTCTATTACTAAAAATGGGTAGTTTTTCATTGATATGATAATACTGAGAATAAGAAACAAACCAAAATTTAATTGCCTTCGATAATCATTTTAAAAAAATCAAGTATTAATTGAATTTGAACTAAAAGACAAAGCAAATGTTATTATTTACATATGTTTAAGCCTCTAAGCTCCATGGAACTAAAACTACTAAAAACAAAGAAATCAAAATATTATTTCCATTTTATCTTTGTGCATACAAAGATGCAGAAAATTACACAATTCTTAAGAAATATAACTGGCATATTAATCAGAACTTAAGAAAAAATTACTTACATTCAATCATATTTACATGGAATGATACTTTTGAATAGACACGACACACTAACAACCACATGATCCAAATAAATATTTTGAAAGATTAATTAAGCACATCACACTCATGAGTGATGTACTTATACTTTTATATAATTCTCAGAATTAAGGTGCACTCTTGACCCTGATTTAGTGCCATTATCCTTTTCTATCAAATTATATACATACTTTTGATTGAAATAAAATAGTAATGAGGTAATACTTTTATATGCATGTAATTTCCTCATCAATACATGCCCTTCACACTTGGATATGATCCTTTAAGAAGTAAACTTGACTTGATGGAATGCAATTATATGAATGCATCTTCTGAATAAATTACATGTTAATGGAAACTCATTACCATTAATATGTCATTGAAGTTGGGAATAATGTTAATTTTACCATTTTTATACTGAACAACATTCTACAGTAACAATAAATACATTTAATTAGAAGATGAAGCATTTTATGCAGTTTTTTTCTTATGAATAAAAGGTAAGAACAGACGTCTGGTTTCCTCGGACAAGGAGGAATGGAGGCATATCTTTTGTCAGAGTTTCCAACCAAGCCATGAATAAAGCTGCAGAAACCACATTTTTCCTTGGCATTGGTAATGTCCTGTTTAAAACAAATTAATTAATTAATTAATTAAAAAGTAAAAAGATGATATTATATTATATATTTAAATATAAAACTTTTTTCCATGCAACACATCCACTAATGTTTTACTGAGCTACTTACATCACTACTAAATTTGCATCCATTGAATTTTCTATAATCAATTCTCTCAGGCGCAAATGACGATTTGTTTTATCAGCATTAGCCAAAACCTCTGCTTCACTGATAGAAACTAAACAAAATAAATAAATGAATAATTAAATGTCAGCAATAAATTTCAACATTGTTATTCTATTCTACATTTTACTTACTCCCATCACCACTACCATCTGATGCAGTTTCAGGAATTCTGAAGTCATTTATCAGACTCTCAAAGAATGACACAGTGCCTTCTTGAGGTTTTTTAGTGATATCTGGTATCACCTTCAAATCTGAGTAGTCAATTCGAAACTTAGCGAGAAGACTTGCCATGCTGTAAAAATATGTTTATTGTATTATATATTAAGATCACTATACTATTCACTCAAAATTTGAAAAAGGTCAATACAAACCTGCGTTGTTCAAATTCAAGTTCATCTTTTTTATTTGCTAAGGCAAATACTCTCAATTTACAACCTGACCAATTTCTTCTGGTACTTATTATGTAAGGCAAAAGTAAAGTAAGACCTGGAAAGTAGTAAGTTTTTCTTGAAAAATTTGGGACAGATGATATTCAAAAGATTTTTATTTTATTTCTTCATTCCAAATTTAGTGCAAAGATCATTACCTCCATCATCATACAACCACCAAACATCAATAGTGCCTTTCCCCTGCTTCCTTTGGAACTGTGTGAGGGAATTCAGAACTTCTTTAGGTAATGGAGCACCTCCTGGACCCCTAAAAATATCAGTATTAGTATAAGCAAGTATTTAGCCATCCAATATTATCAAACAAAATAATTATAATTATTTGTGAATGAGACTATCTTTTACAAAGCATGGCTTCCTCAATTGCTTTTGGATAAGTAATTTCTAGATATGTTTGTTAAAGAAAATTAAGAATAAAAATACAATTGGTTCAACTTCAAAAATAAAGTAAAACCACATGAAATGAAAGTGTGTCAAATACCAGAAAAAGTATGTACAAAAAAGCAGTTTTCACAGAAGTTTTCATTCTCTCTAGTCAGCTTCATTATTTTCTTCAATCTGCAGAACTTTCAGGTTAATAATTAAACTAGTGTTTGGGCAACTACTGAAATAAAATATTCTGGTACCTTAGCAACTGATAAACTATAAAATTCCTGGATTAATAAACATTACAACTTTCTTGTCAAATTCAAATATACCTTAGTAGCAGATTTTTAAAAAAATTGTTTAACTTCTGGAATTAATGGAAGTTTATTAATAAAATATGCTAAATGTACTTAGATTTTAACTTGCGTATTGACATTAAAAAATAAATAATTTACACTGAAGTTTACCTATACCTACCTAAAAAGATCTGCTTTTGATTCTCTCTTTTTCTTATCTTTCTTCATGAGAGAGAGTTTATTCTTCTCTTGACCAGGATCAACAATTGTTACAGCAGTATGACCAGCATCACCATCTTCAGCATTAGGACTTGCACTAACTCGAGATTTATTCAGATTTGGTGTGGCTGGGGCAGATAAATCACTGGCACTGCTGGCTGTTAAAAAATGAAAAAAATAATCAAATTATTTTAAAAATTAAATACAATTTGCAAACTACTAGTAATTAAATTACTCTCTGTCAAAATTGGGTAGAAACCAATATTTCATTTACAATAATCACTAAAGCAAAAAATGTGAACATTAAAAATGGTTAAGTAATAATAATTTGAATGAAATTTACAAGAGCCAACAATGCTCAAAGATTAAGAATTGACAAGATTGAAATTCAATAAAAAGTTTTTAATGTTATTAGTGCTGTCACTACTTGAATATATATTTTTTATAATTCATTGGGCAAATAATAAATTTAATGCAATAATAATATATTTAGTAATATAAAAACATATGTGCCAAACATTTTTCACTTCAAAGATGCAATGTGCACATCAGTTTATTTAATTACAACTTTGTTCGTTTCAAACAAAATTTAGATATTTAAATTCTGGTTCTATTTGATAGGATACAGATATATTCGATATTATTTTTTCTTATCTTATTTCTGAATGCTTTGACTTTGTATATCCCTTCAAGCATAAGATAAATAAAATATACACCATCATCAAATTGCATTGTACTTTATAAATTAAATTGCATTAAATTACAATTACAAATTGTACATTATTTTACATTAAGGATTCATTCACATCCTTTATTCACCTGAACACCACATAAATCTAAATGTCACAAATGTTGTGAATAGCAATACATACAGATTAAAATTTTCACAAGTTGAGTGTGATTATTTCTCAATTAAAAAATTGTATTAATTAAAAACTTAAATTTGAAATTCAAATATTAATGGGCTCACCCTTTGTTAATGAACATGCAAAATACTATGTTTGATTTTATCTGCTATACAATAATAACTAATATAAAGAAATGTAGAATAATATAACATTTCAAACAATCCTGATGGATTCTACAGTATTATTATCCCTAAAATGATTGGGGGGAAAAAAAAAACACTTCTGGGTGGCCACCCATTTCCTGAAACAAATTTACCGGACTTTTTCCAGTTTTGTAGAGTATTTGTCCAGTTTGTAGAGTATTTCACACTACTTTAAGATAATATTGAACCAAGCCTGAAACTAATTTGTCAGCTCTCTGATTTCACCATGATAACAACACACCAGCTTAACATGAAACTACAAATAAAAACAAACTCACAACAAAAAAGTTGTACTATTATTTTAGGAATAATATTTAGTTCTATAACCATCTCAAAATTTTCCCACTCTTCTAACAATTCTCCCACAAATCCTCTAATTTTTCACAGATTTTTACAGAGTAATGAAATTTCTTGATTTTTTAGAAAGTACTTATATGGTTTTTTTACTTTTTATTGAAAGGTAGAAGAAAGGACATGAATAATCCCTTTTGAAACATAGCGACATTAACCTGCAAAGCAAAACATATAGGAATATTTAAAGACCCCTCACAAATGAACATAGGGCCGAGGAATAAGCTGACAATATAAGCAGAAAGAAAAAAAGTACAAAGAAACGAAAGCACGCAAGAAGAATACTCCCAAAAATGATAGCACAATGAGAGTGTGTAGTAGTTGCAGTGGTGCACCAAAGGGGGGTGGGGGAGTCCTTGTGGAGCCATGGCACCTCTTCCCCCCTACCCCACCCCAGAAAGTGATGGCATATTTTCACTAATGTAGTCTTCACTAATTTTCTGAAGTTACAAAGGACTTTCAATATCTCAAATCTCAATTGTATTCTTATTAATAGTATCTGCAACTCAACTACTAAAAATAAATTTTAAATTCAGCATAAGCTTTATAAGAGTGCATCAAGTCAGCAGGTCACTACTACTACTACTACTACTACTACTACTACAAGTCTTCCAATAGAAATAACCTCATTGGGGCACTGATAAGTTAACATCAATATTTTACTGTACATTAATGAGGGATAATTTTAAATAACAAAATGAAAGACTTCCCTATTGAGAACTTGATATTTGATGAGGGAACAAAGTGTTTCTCAAAACTAAAAAGATTTTAATCCTCACAGAGTCAACTAGGGCAGATCTCCCCAGACCTGCCCTGGCTGCCTCAGAGCATTAAAATCTGTGAAGTATTAGGGGGAGGGGCAACAACCAATTTAATTTTTCACACTTCTAAATATTTTTGAAATGCTAATATTTTTTTCAATTTTTACCTTGAAAAAATGGTGTGCACATCTCCCTACCCAGGATCCAGCACTGCTAAGGGTCTCATTTAAAAACGTTAGACATGATTGATATATCCTATGAAATAGTTTTTATTTATTCTCAAACTTGAGAGTAGTAGAAACTAACAGTACAAATGCAGTACTAGAATAAATAGTACTTAGAGTAAATAAAAAATCAATTTTAAACCACTAATCTGAAATAAAATTATCCTGATGAGGTGGTTAATTAGTGGGTCCATCATGCCTAACATGGAAGTAAAAAAATCAACTGAAAAGAAAATGGAATTAATTTTTAATTCATAAGTCTCGAGCAAATCCTTAGCAGAGAAAAGCTGCATAAAAAGGTAATCTATAAAAATAAAAATTCTGGCAAAGTATGTTTTCAGGGAAGGTCTGTAGTTTTCATTTCCTAGCAATGTCTATAAATGCCTCCTTACATTTTTGATAAATTAATAAGAAGAACATATTATTAATAATATTATGTATTATACATATTATTGAATATGAGAAGTTTTCAGATGCCTGGTCAACAGACATTGAACGAAATTTAATACATACATGATAGAATACTTTATAATCCAATGAGTTGATATAAAACTTCATGAAGAGCTTTAATCATTTTTTGTTTGCTTGTTTGTTTGTTTGTTTGTTTGTTTGTTTTGTTTTGTTTTGTTTTGTGTTTTCAGAAGACATAACAGTTCTAACTCAGGGCATTATAAACCCATTCAAAAAAATGTCAGGTTGAATAAGATAAATATTGCCTACTGGTTTCCCAAATGATATAACACAATATTCTTTGCAACGCCTTTAAAGGTTTTTTGAAGTAAAACAACTAAAAGTAAAGTTTACAAAACCCAGATCTCAGTAAAGAAAGCAAATCCCCAGAATCTTGTATAATTTTAACACAAAATTAACTTTGTTTTTGGAAGGGAATAAAAAATATAAGCCAACATTAATGACTAATTTTCAATAGCAGTAATAAAAGTAACTTATTATAAATTATTTCAGAACTTTCAAAAAGAAAGATCTGTTATAAACCATTTTCTTTTAACCTTAAAGAAAATTTTAATTTAGCAGCCACAAAAGTAAAATCTTGATTGCCATTAATGAATGGAAGATTTTCAAAGTATTTTTGAAGTAAGGAATTAAAATAACAAAATTGAAAAATAAACATACAATGAGTGCAATTATATAGATAAAATTAGTTATTTGTATTTAATTCATCTAACACTGTAATAGTGTTAACTCTGTTCAGAAAACCATCATACAGGTGATTACCTTTCCTAAAATTATAGTTTAGTAAAAAATATATTTTCCCCCTACAATATTTGGGAAAAAACAAACACACTACACAACTATATTGTGAGAGCTTGATACTTGTTTAAAAATGTTTTGTATGTTTAATAAAAGTACTTTAATAAACTATAATATTGTGAAGTTAGCAAAAACTTATTTCACTTTTCTTTGAAATGATATAATTTTTCTTGTAATATGTTATAGATCATAAATGAAAGTTCAGCACTTCTAGATACAGAGAGCACTTATATAAAACACTGGTCAACACACATTTTGCCACAAGCATAATTTTATTTGCATCTATGTTTTCAAATGAATTCAGTTTTGGTATACAAATTTAGGGTTTAGCACATGGGATTTCTTCAAGTATTTAGTGAAAAACTTTTACAAAATAAAAATAGACAATTATAAGGACCAACTAAGGAAGTTGCTGAAAATATAATAAGATTTTTGTGTATTATATTATTTTATTCATTTCCTTCTATCTTACATGGATATCTTTACCAAAACCTGAGAGCTGCGAGCAAAGAGTACTGATTGCTTCCATTAGGATATTTCAAACATGGAAAAAAAGTACCATGAGCAATATTTTTTGAAGTATGTTTCAGATAACTGCTGGACAATAAAAAGGAATTTCAGAGCCGAAATACTGAAGGGAATCATCATTTAGCATGTCTAAGGTACTTTCAACGTTTGATAATTTCCTCATGTAAACGGTGTAAGAGAAATATACAAATCCTACCATCATAGAAAAACTTTACATAAAACAGAAAAATGGATTTAATTTTTAAGTCAGCTTAGAAAGATCACCTAATTACATTGTCGTGGAAGAGAAAAGCTTCATATTGCAGACCAGTGAAATTAGACTTATTTTATAAATATTTTCAGTTTGAATTAGAATTATTTTGAACATAAAATTGAATAAAATAAATTTGTCAGTATATAACTACTACAAGCTCTGCTTTTTGTAAAGGCATAACTACATAGGTGAATATAAATATTAGTGAAAATAACAAAGGCATATAAGGCATCTGGACAATTTGTTCACTAATTGGCAAAAAATGGCAAACCAGTAGGAAACCCCTTGGGATCAAAACTACATGCAGGACTACCGATTCAAATACATAGTAATTTGAAAGGAAATTATTCAGAAAAGTAGGTTTCTAAAAACATCAATTTTTGAAATGAGGACAAACTTAATGCAACAAGAAAGCAAAAGACCTATTGATTTATAATTTCAACAGACTCGGCAGTCCTGTGTTAACAATAGGGCCCCTGCAACACATTGTAGTGTGTCAGTATACTCAATGTGCATATATCTGAAGCTTGCATCATGCAGCTGCAATTGACCCTAAATGTGCTGTGACAAACAATTTGTGAAACGTTTTCTTTCTCAACTTACCCCTTGACCTTGCAATTTGACGAATTCCTACACTGAGAAATTTGCATAGCTCTTCATGTTCGAGAAGAAATAAAGAAAATAATAATTAAAATGACATAAAGAGAAGACTCAATAACAATGTGAGCAAATGAAGGAAGAATAAACAGATAGTGTCAAGAAATCATGTAACAACATTACTATTAAACATTTTCTTTACAACAATTATTAAAACATAAAATTTAATTCTCTTTGTTAATAGTAACAAAATAATATTTTTAACCTTCTTAAAATTTCTTAAATGTGAATGTTCATAACATTTTTCCTGTTTTATAAAGTTTGGAAGAATCTATTACTAAAATATTATTTCAAATTTCATAGAAAAAAGTATTTTAATAATATAAACCATACCTTGTGACATTTGAGAGAATGACTGATTTCGAGGAATACTTTCTTGAGAGTTTTGCCTTGTTCTAGAAAAACCCTTATCTGCAGGAGTATTTACACCATTTGACATTTCTTCATCATCAGCAATTACCTTAGAATAATCAAGGCCATCTTGCAGTCTCAAAATTGCAACAGCCACATACATATCTAAAGCTTTACTGTAACAAATGTTCACAAATGAAGCTCCAATGTTCATATTTTTATAAGAGTTTCAGTAACATTTATTATGTTAACTTACTGCATCACATCAAAATACATTGCTAATTCCTTCCTTTCACATTCCCTCCAGTCTCCTTTGTAACCCATTAGCAATATATTAGGTTTCAATTTTCCAATGCCGGATGCCTGGAGTAAAGCTTTGGCACCTTCTTCAAAATCAACTTCATCAACAACATTGTAAAATGCTTTTACTTTATGAACCCGGAACCAATTCTGTGCTTTATAGTTTAAAACATTCCGTACACGCTGTGATAATGGATCCTAGAATAAAAGTAACAACATGCATAAACAATTTTACAGATTTATAAATAAATTCATCCTAATTATCCTTGTACTTACAACTGTTTTTACTTACTCTGTTACTTATATAACTTTCATAATTCTAAAATATATAATTCTCAAAAGAATAAAATAATAAAGCAATGCATAAAATATAATACCTTTACAATATGACCACAAATCATGAGAGAAAGATTCTTTGTCATCAAATATGCAATATCAATTAAAGGAGGACGGTATCCTGGCATTCCAGACAAAACGAGGATCTGTGGACGATAGTTCTTCACATGATCTTCCACATTACTGAGCTGCTGTACTGATATGAGGGCATTTTTGTAGGTCTGTGCTTGGGTAGAAGAACCCCAGTTTACATCTACAAACACACACAAAAAACAAATTATTTTAATACAATGCAGTTAAGTGAAAGTGTATTAATAATACTTGTGTTACTTACCAGGTTTCCGATATGCAACAATGAGGTAGAGAGCCATAACAACAGCTAATGTTATCAACGCAGTCCACCAGCTAATAAGAAACATTACAGCCACACACAAGCCAGCACCAACTAAACTTAACCACATGTTATAGAACTGAAAACATAAAATAAATGAATAATACAATAGTAAGGTTGGTAAGAACAATCCAGAACATAACATTTTATGCAATAAGCAAAACATACCCGGAATTTTGGTCTCCAACCAATTGGTTTTGCCAGAGAAGCATGGAATGTACTAAAATTTATCAAAGCATACGCTGCTAAGAAAAAATTTGAAATCAAAGGGGCAATGGCATTAAGTTCACCTGAAATAAATATTTTTAATTAGAGGTAAAAACCAAAAAGTAACATGAGAAACAAGCCATACTGTAAACATTGGAAACAATTTTATGCTTACCTATGAGAATGAAACTGACAGCAATAAAAAATGTGAGTACATATCCTCGAACAGGTTCATTATTTTTCCCAAATCCTTTACCAAACCACGTTATGTATGGATACAACCTGTCATTACAAAGTGCTTGGAAAACTTTGGGAGCTGACACAAGACTAGCCAATGCTGATGATAAGGTAGCAGCAAAGCAACCAGCATAAATTAAAGGACCAAAAGCAGACACTAATTCCATTACCTAAGAAATATTTAAAAAACATTGAAGACTCAAGTTTTTTATAACCACAAAACACAATCTATCTATACACTTTATAACTTACTTGAAAACTGTTGTGGAGACCCCATTTACATTCTCTATCTGTGCAATCTAAATAAGTTTGGTTTGCAAGTTCTGTAATGTTACCACTAGCATCACGTTCCATGACTGCTCCAGACATAAAAGCCATGATTAAGTATGAAAAAGTTGTCAAAACTATTGAAAGCAATGTTCCCTTTGGAATGGCTCCTTGTGGATCCTAAAATCAAAATTGAACTATAGATACTCAAGAAATATAACTTCTCACTCAAATTAACGGATATCAGTTATTTCTAATAAGAGACCCCTGTGGATTAACTGAATCTGGACCATTGTTTTCTCTGGGCAATCCTGAGATATCAAGAGTAGCTTATCTTACAGTTTACAATTACAAAAGGCCATTTGTTTTTCAAACTTGTTATCTCCTAAACTTTCTTGACACTTCAACAAGAAAGAATTAAGTTATTTTACAAAATTTCTTACCAGCAAGTCACCAGATATATTAGCACCTGCAAGTATACCAGTTGCAGCAGGAAAAAATATGGAAAATACTGAAAAGAAACTGTGTTCCACTCCTTCAGACTGACGGTAATCTGGTTTGAAATTTTCTGCAATTAATTTTGCTGAAAAGAATTGAACCAAGATAATTTAAGTGAATATTCTACTTTAAATATTACACATTTCTACATTTAAATTAATATAATAAATCAGGAAATCATCTGTACATACTGTCATAACCCATAAAACCCTTGACTTTAGCTTCGTCACTCAGAGGTCCAATGCATGTTCCAATCATGAAATCCAGTATAGCAACCAGCAGTATGACAAGAAGACCAATTTGTGCCTAAGCAAATAGCAATTATCTTCCATAAAAAACACTACATTTAAAAAAGGAGGAATGATAATTATGAAAATGTTACAATACCTTAGCTTCCCATTCCATTCCAACACAAACAATGCACAGAAGAACAGTAATCGTAATGACTCCCATTATTCTCATATCATTTATGCCACCATCTACAATACTAGCCTGAAATGTTGATAAAAGAGAGTTCATAGACTCACAGAATCCCACAACATACATAGCACAAGCCACTGCATTGGCCAGTGAGAAAATTAGACCAATAGAACCTCCAAATTCAGGACCCAGTGATCGAGATATCATATAATATGTGCCACCTGAAAAATACTAGTATTAGTGTGGTATTTCTAAACAATTTTTTCAATAATTATTCTGTTTCTTATCTTGACTAAAATGGTACATACACAACACTTATGGATTTTTAAAGGCAATTGTACCTCCTTTTATAACTCCATTGGTGCTGATAGCTGACATGGAGAGAGCAGTGATGGTAGTGACAACACTGGTGCACAGAATCAGCAACATTCCTTGACCTGTGAACATTAAAAAATTGGCATATTTAATGGTCCTTCATAAACAATAAATTTTATATTAAGAGCTAGCTATAGATAACTATGACAATAATAATAATAATAATAATAAATAATAACAATATCAACAACAATTGTAAAAATACACTAAAACTTGCTAAAAGCGGAATCTCATGGGAACAATTTTTTTTCCATATTAGACAAAATTCAATTATGTAATGTAATACTGCATGTTTGGGAGACCATGATTTATGTTCACATTAAACAGATTTCTGTATTATACTCGTTCTCCATTGAGCAAGTTTTACTGTGTATAACAATAATAATAATAATAATAATAATAATAATAATAATAATAATAATAATAATAATAATAATAATAACAATAATTTAATTTCAAAATTATGCAAATTACATACTCCATTATATCAGAAACATCGCTATTTTAAAAAAATTATAAATACCATTTTAAACCTATACAAATACAAATACAATACCTAAACAAAATTCTTTTAACCAAAATACAAAAATGATATTCAACCTTACTCATCAATTTATAACTCGCTTCGCCAGTTCACTTCGCCCAGGAAAGACTTAAAAGTATGCTATTTTTCTTCACTGCCTCTCATTCACGTTTTCAACATTTAACTTTTTTGTCTAATTTTTCTAGTAATTAATGCCAGCTAGGCTGCTCTCCTTATTGGTTTTTTGATGTTTTCCCTCTCTTTGTTTAAATTATTTGAAGTGGTGATATTACTCAAGAAATAATTTTTAAATTCCTGATGAAATTTTTCTGTACTACCACCTATAGCGCGACCAATAAAAACCTGGACTGTGCATTCACGAAAAGCAAAAGGGGGAGGTTTCCTCTCTTAGAGGCTCAACTTCCCGGTCTTGAGGAGCCACCGCCACCCCCACCCTGAGTGGGCGGGGAGGCGACAGACTGGTCTTGACGAACGCCCTGAACCCTAGTATTGAAGCGTAAGAACTAAATGGCAAGAACGAATCAATTATCGTTGCAGGCAATCCTTGTGTTCAACTGAGCTCTCCTTCGGGAGTAGCCAAATCCCTGAGTTAATTTCTTCTTCCCCCTGTATCGAAGGCCCTACCTGAAGACAGGAAGAAAGCCCTCTATTCTGGCACAAAATTGGCAGAAACATCTTTGCAGATGGAGATAAGCAAACAGCCTAGTACAGATTCTCTTGCTAAAATTTGGTCAACAAGCGGTGGTCCTGGGAAACTTTTAGTGGTAGATATTGCCTCCCCGAATGACGATGTCGGATCAAACACGCCCCCCCCCCAACGAGGACACTAGAGTTTCAGATATGAATCAAAAGCTTTCAGTCTTGTCCGTTCTCTTTGATTCTATACTTATTTGGACACGTACTGCTTAAGCAGCATAAATATTGTAATACTGGGGGGGGAATTAGGGGGGTAAATACTGGGGAGCTTCTTGGTCATACTGCGAATTTTTGATAAAAAAAAAAAAGTCCCTCTAACACTTTGCGTAGTCAGAATTCACTATTGGTGGGTCCTTGATACGGAAAAATCGATCAACAGTAAGACGTCTGTTCGTCTATCTGAGAATAACGCTAGCATCTAAACCATAAGCAGGATTTTTATCGAAACTGATATGGCTGATATCTCGGCTCCTTGAATATGAAAGGGATATTTTGATTTTTCACGCTTCAACATTTTAAAACTTTTCTCAAAAATGAGTCCACATCCGCCCCCCCTCCACACATACGCACTGGTAGAGCAAAATACCCATAAAGAAATGGTGGAGGTTCGTTGCACTCTGAATTTCTGAATATTGCTGAATTTCGAAACAAATTTAAACATTAAAAAAAAATAATGGCTCAATTTTTTCCCCACGTATGTAGTAAAGAATGGAAAGTGGTGCTGGCCCATTTTCAGCAAACTCTCTTATTTTCGAACATTGAAAAAAATCGAAACTGCAAATTCGAATATCCTGAGCTTCATTTGAAGTGTTGTCAGCACTGGCTACTCTGCGATACAGCTATTTAAAATTCTCAGAATTCTACTCATTGTTGGAGGTCGTGGTGAGGTAGATATATTCTTATGAAAGGATATAGATTAAAGGTATCTTATACCCAAAACATGCAAAAATTTTAATTACTGTTAATTAACCTTTTCTCATATTTATTGAATACATATGTCTACAGTAAAAAGCAAAAATATTACGAACAAAAAATATTTGGGGAGATATCGGAATTTAGGAAAATATATCAAAGGTTCTGATTATGTTAAAAGTTACAAAAAAAATCTTCGATTTTCCCTTATTTTTGAGGTATAATAAACCTTAAAGAAGTAATAGATTTAACTTGTAACTAACAAAAAACATCTTTTACTTGAAAAAGTTTTGATCACTTTTATTGTGATATTCAAAAATTGGAAGGCGACTTCGATGTAATAAGGCAAGCTCGTGTGAAATTATTCTTTCTTGTATAATGTGCCACAAATATTGTAACAGTTAAACATTTGCTTAATTTTTAGAAGTAAGAAATGACAACTGTTCCTGACTTTGGAAATAAATGCAGCTATGCACCACAGGTGCTTTGTTCGAATTGAACGTTTTCAAGTTACAGCAGAAGTGTTAATATAGCAAAAATTGCAAAATTACAATATTACCCGTTTCCAATAATGCGAGAAAGTATGTGCTGTAGTTTAACTTCTAGTATTGACACGACCCGTTCCGACACTGCGCACTGGTCTGTTAGGTCGATTTTATTGAGTCTCTGAATTCTATGATGCTCGGAGACGTAAATACTGAAAAGTAATTTTAAAAAGGTTGCCGACCTGATTGGCCGATGTAGAACGTGTACAGAATCAGCCTTGGTCGGAAGGGTAGCGGGTTCGTGGGCATGGTCGCTTGTCCCTTGCCTTTCCGTGTGTTGTCGCGCTGAGTCTCCATGAGGGACAGTGGGTTCCTGGCGAGAACAGTCGAAAATCGGCATCCGTTGAAGCTGGAGAAAGTCCCCGAGAAACCATAATATTGCAACGCCGAGGCGCATTTCGCCCTGAGGAAGGTCGCAGAATAGCGGCAGAAACGTTGACACCTGTGCCTAGGATGCGGCGTCTCTTGGTCGGCCAAATAAATAAGATACAAATGCCTAGAAAGAGAAATGCGACGATGACTAGGTAGCCGCAAGCGAGAAGCTGGGATAAAGAGCGGTAAAGGTGCATATATAAACGATTCGATTGGGAATGCCTCTTTGAGAGACTGTAATGAGACGTGTTTCACTTTGTCTTTTTATCATGGCACTCCAACTGAGATTGAATACAGCTGCCAATAAATATACCCTAAGTAGGGGGAGGCCAAGAGAGAATGCAGTACAACGATAGAAATCAAGAACCACATCCTGGGTCAATGCAATTTTGCTAAGCCATCAAGAACAAAGCGACATGGCGAGATCAAGAACTTCACAGAGGCGTAGAGGGGAAGATATCCCGAAAATCGGACACCATAGTGCCCACGGAAGCCACTTTCTTCCATGCTGAAGGAGTTAGACTCAAACGTGACCCGGCAATAAAAATCCTGGAAGGATGTGGTGGACGTCTCTGTCCGACACGAGCTTGAATCTAGCACAATGAAAGGTGGAGAGGAAAAAGTGCTTAAATACCAACCAGTCATTCCCCTAGCAGCCCAACTTCATGGAGTGGCCAACGCCAAAATCATGTCAGTGGTGTTCGGCACGTCTGGTGCTCCGCCACGATCCATAGTGTCCTTGAAAAGTTGAGAATCATGTGTCGAGGCGATTTACGGACCATCTCGTTAATTGCTATCAGGAATTCTATGAAGATCTACTCGCCTGTTACTGACTTGTATCTTTCTTGCTGCCTCCCCCATTCTACAGCTTCGTGCTGTGCTCCCGCATTTCCGATTTTTTGTATTCGCTCTCCCGCAATAGTTTCGAATCCACTGAACTCATGTTCCCCAACAGCGTATGCATACGTGAATGCCGCGATCGTCTGAACGCCAATAAAGTCAGTTGTAGCTGTATTGCCACTCAGCAAACGACGCTGTCAGGTGCCTCTCTCTCGAGGTAATTTAAATAAGAACACCAAGTTCTAGCACATGAAAATATATTATTCAAGACTTGTAACTGGAATCAATAGGCAAATATTACCTTCCCCGCTTTCGCCGATATCTCGTTCCTCACTACAGAACCACCGATTAATTTGCTGAAATACCGTCCCTGATGTTTCGCTAAACTTCCAATATCCTTAATTCTCTACTATATGGTTTTAAAACCACAATGTCACGTCAATATTCCCGGCCTACATTCAGACGAACTCCATCTAGCCCGTTCTCAACAAAACTCGTAAAAAAAAAAAAAATAAAAAAAAACATACCCGACGCTACAACCCTCAATTCTCTCTTTCACGATTTCGCACAACTCTAACAAAGTTATATATTCATTTCGTAACGAAAGTTCAAAGCACGTTCAGTGAATTGCTGAATCATCCTGTTTTTAACAACTGTATCAGTCTGGCACACAGCGAGATATGCAGTGCGATTGCTATAGCCCCTTTTTCTGCCCGAGAAAGATGCTGGGATCAGAGGTTAGAAATGGCGAGGGAAAGGGCTTGCCCCCTGATCCGAGCTTACCTATCTGCCGAGGGGATCCCATGAGCATCGTCTCCTGAATGGGGTGGAACCTTCGGTCACAGTTACCTGCTCTTACGTCGACATCCATATGGTAATAATCACGGAAATAGGTTAGAGTATTCTTTTTGCGGATTAATATGCATTATCAAACATGTTATAGTACACATTTTGTATATTTTTTGTCACGATATGTTCACTCAAGTTTGTTCACTTATTTTGGAATCATTCTACATGTCAATAAACTAATTCTTAGGAATAATTATTTTGAATGTCCTAAAACTTAACAGAATACTTAACAGTTCATTTCTTAATAGCTATGAATTTGACAACATATTAAAAAAAATATGTACTTACCAATTCCTGCCTGGGCCACCACCCAGGACAGGCGAAGGAACAGCATCACCCCCCATATGTTCAAGAGATTTCTAACTAGAACGCCTTTAATCCAGCCAAATTTCACTGTTCCTTCAGCATCAGCTTGAGGTCCCGCAGGTCGCGTTGTTGGCTGAAACAAAAGGAAATTTTGACAATTAAGTGAACTATTTCGCGGAGAACACGAGTCAATTTGAACATTTAGTGTTCACCCCTATCTCTGGTCTTAATGATTGATAGGGGCGGATTTTGATGACCTAAAGCATTGCCCAAAATGATCAATAAAATGCTCTTAAAATGCTTTAAAATTCCCTAAAACAAAGAAAATTACGTTAAAAATTTGATCTAATCCACTTCAGAAGAACAACTTAAACTGTTGGGTATGATACTGATGTAATCGAGACTTCTTTCTATATTGTTCAAGTGAACTAAACTTGCAAATTTTTGGTTTGGACAGTTCTTTAAAAGAAACTCTCTGCCTTTATTTCTCGCGAAATCGGCCTAACTGACAATGAGGCCGATAGGCGTCACAGGAACCTTAGATTACATAGTACTTACAACGGCTGACAATATATGAGCCAAGAAATAGAATATGCTTCTCAGGAAGTCTGTGATAAACATTTGTTGCACCTCGTAAAAATTGTTTGAAGAAAGTACCATTAAAATGATATTGAATCGATTAAATCACCAAAAAAGACACTCAAAATAGTGTAAAACCGTAAAAAAATGACTTATTAGTAGAAATTGCTAACCTTTAACTAAATGCAAAACATACATAAAACTGGGACATTTATTTTGAACATAAAATGAATTTTTATACGAAACGGCATTGTTCTAAAGCGAAAAGAAAAAATGACATTTCATTAAAATTTGCCCCCTAATATTATAGTTATACTACATGGCTAATTAAATGATTTTTGGAGCAATTTAAAGAAACACTTAATTCACTTTCAATTCTTGGAAAGCACTTTAAGAAACAAATATGAAACACACTGTACAATAAAATGCTAACCTTTGGTCATATTTTAATGAGTACCTTTATTAATTCATGGCTATTTATAACCAATAAGCAGAAGATATTTTGTGATGAGGTTTCTACAGTTTTATAAATAATTATCTTTGAATACTAATAGTTTATATTATCACCAACACATGCTGGTACATTATTATAACCGCGTGATATTCGGATCTACACTTTGAAATAATTTCTATCTTTATTAGATATTTATATATTATTTCAATAATTATTTCCATTTCATAATTTGCACTTCAGATTGTATATGTCATTAGAAACATTTAACTTTGATTTCATACGTTTAAGAGAGAGTTTGTCCCTCAGCGTAAGTTCAGGAGGGAGTTTGTTCGAAAAGGACATCACATTCTCGACGGGTGCAATACGAACCGCCTCCAATGAGCGATGGAGCCTGCCCTGGGGGCGGTAGCGCAATCCAGAGGGGGGAGGGAAGAGGGGGGGTCCTTAAGACAGTCAAGAAGGGTGGGCCGTGACATGCCTACCCTAACAGCACCGAAATAGTTTTAAAATGTTAACAAACAATATTAAAAAATAATTATAAAATATAGCTAACATATATTGACCGCGATCGACAATTTTTTCATCCTGCAACGACTGCAGTGGTCGAGGTGACTGTACGTCACAGGGCGTACCACAAGTATGGAGATCGTTTTTTTTTTTATTTCATTCTTATTGAGTTTGTGTTGGTTTTTAAAATGTTGATAAATAAATATGTTGTACATTTGGTTGCTTTATTGTCTACTTAATGATTTTTAAGAGATAAGGTAGGAACATACAATATACAACAATATTTCGATATTTCATATAAAATTAACTATTACGGTCTTCGGGGCGTTGGATATTTCTTCTTCTTCTAAAGGGTACGGTGGCACAGAAAAGTTGGGGACCTCTGGTGTAAGACCTCTCTAGCACTTTACTATTTTTTTAAACGTAGAGGTATGTAAATATTTCTTTATGATTTATACGCGTTTCTCAGCATACTGGGCCATTCCATGTAAATTCAAAACACACGCACACACACAAAGCAAACAAACGAAAAAGGAATTTTCAACCGTAGTATCATGGATTTCAGCATATACTTTCCTTGACCGCTAACTAGAAAAACTATACAAATTTTAGATTTTTATGTGCCTTACGTTTTGAGAATGGTCCTTTCCATAATTGTAAACGAACGCAAAATTTTGCTCGCCCACCATCACTTAAAAGGCAATAATTCGCCGTAATTGCTGAACAGAGTTTTTTCAAGGCTCTTTGAAGAGTACAAGTAGTGAGATACACACCGTTTTAAAACCTAAGCATTTTGCAATGATATTGCAACTTCAATTTTAAAATTTAAGTATCTAAAAAATAAGCTTTTAAAATACATATTCTCGTTTGCTGTCTAAAGTAAATATGGAAATTCCATGCTGGACCCACATTCCTTTAACATTCACAATTTTTTCTACTTATAGATGCGCGCCATACCCAAAGATTCTTCTTCGCCTCCCATATATTATTATTAAACAAAGTTAGTTGTCACCGTTAGTAAATCTCTGTAAGCAATGTTATTTTTATTACGCTACACTAGTATAGTTATAACTGTACACTTAAAGCACAGGGACCACAGATCCGAGAATGAGTGTAGTCCTTATAGAACAGGGGTGTACAACTTGCAAGGCCTCCAGGGCCACCAGTGCCGGCTCGTGCTGTGAATTCTTGCCCCGGCAAAGACGCCACAGACGTAGGAGGGAGTTTGTGCACGTGGCTAATATTTTGCCAGCCTGTTTGTACAAGGCGACTGTTATGACGTCATAGTGCTTAGGTTGCACGGTTGAACAACCCCCAGATAATAGAATGAGATCTCATACTATCTTCAGAATGTACATTTTTCTTTTAATGACATTCAATATTCAAGATATTGCAGCAATATCGGCGTATGTGAGATCATTTCGAAATCAAAGCCTGTCCTACTGCCGCTCTCTCCGGTGCCTGTGCCTTCCGGGCATTGCAGCGTGTTACTGAGTTTACTGCATTTACTCTTTGGCCTTTCAATTTAACACGGCAAACACAGGCCTCTTTGGTTGGTCAACCAGGCGGGTGGCGTTGTCTAGCGTTGAGCGGTGACCAAGGGAATTTCCGGGGAATCACAATATTCTGTCTTCGTCCAACAAGCTGCACGATCTTTATTTCAAAATATTCCAGGGTAGTGAGACTTTTGAAATAAAATAATTTTATTTGTGTGAAACGTGTCGTGCAATGTGCTGGAGTCGAACTTAAGTGAAACCCAGTGAAAAATCAGAGACGACGTGCGTGTGAGATGTATATACCTGAACGGCTACGGCAACAATTTAGGAAGGGGAGATCTGGGTTATTTTTTCGTCAATTCAACTATGCACAAACAAAAAATATAATATGGGTGAAATACACTGTAACATCTGTAGAATGAAGTAGCTGTAGCTTATGTAAAGACTAAGTTTAAGGCAAAATGCAAAACACCGCGAAGTAAAAAAAACCTGGGTTCGCAAAATTTGCACGCAAAATGTTTCGTTTAAAATATCACTGAAACTACTTTTAGGTCCTTCTATTGTCAGTTCTTTGACGAAAGCGGGCGTCAATAACTGTCGTGGCAACACTGCGGCCGAATAGGCTAGTCCGCCCCGCCAGCGATCTTCAAACCGGCGGGATCCGCCTCTCCTCCGCGGTGCGGGCGCACACGTTCTTACGCGGTGGGTGAGTGATGTCAGCGGAGTGTCAGAGGTCAACAAGGCGCGCTCATTAGGTGACCCATGAAATTACAAGAAGGTCACGAAGCCCACGGGCCTCAGGAGAGGTGGAAGGGCGGGGGGGACTCCGGAGGGCAGCGCGATGTCGACGGGGCGGGCACTTTTCGCCCTTCAAGAACAGCTCACTGTTTTCGCGACCTATCGCAAGAACTGCACAAACGTTTGTTCAAAAACGGTTGGGGAGATTTTTCGCTGGAATGATCTCAGATTTGTTGGGTTTGCGTAATATCAGTACAGCACGAAAGGTATTGAACGTATTTTACCCAACGAAACAAGGCTGAAGAGTTGGATGATTTATTAAAGAGAGGGTACGGCGAAGTTCACATTCTAAAATAATACCTGCTGAATTATCTTTAACCAGCAAGATATCAAAGCTACTGATAGTTTATTTTTAAACTTTATTTTTCAATTGTTGGTTTCACAATTTCAATTGTGACTTTTCAAATGCATTTTTATCAACTGTTTCCATCCCCCCTACTAAGGGATGTGCCTTCGCGGTTTACCTCGTTGGCCAGCGAGCTCCTTTTCCATGACGCGACTCCGGGTTCGATTCCCGGTTGGGTAAGATTATAGAGCGCGTTTCCTTGCAATGCCCCAGTTAATGTACCAGTGTGACGATAAGAAAACTCACGAATCGGGTTGAGAAGACCAGAATACGGCGTAGCGATGTCTTCGTGCTAACCAAACGTACCCCGAAACCTATGACCGCGAGGCCGGGATGTTGCTGGTAGGCCCTGGCCCGTTCGCAGGCTGTCACGCAATGTACAGACAGACTAATGGACGTAACCATTACTTTCCACTATAATGTACGAAAGGAAAGACATTTTAAAATGTGCAAGATAAATTGTAAGTACCGGAATAGCAAAATGCAAAATAAACATAAATCGTTCGCTACAAATTTGTAACCATTTACTACATAGCAATCACACGAGAACATATTACATCTAACGCAGAGGCTCGCCCGAGATTTTTCTCTCGGGGTACAAGGATAGTTTCTAGCTGACTTCATGTTTTTTATACTGTTTTTTTATATTTAATTTCTATATTAATTTAAATTTAACATAAAATGTATTTTTATTTGTTGACTTACAGTTAACATGTGCAACAAACTATTGATACATTGAATAATTCGTTAATATAGAAAATTATTAAAATGTTATATTTTTTAATATGCATCACCATTGACTTCTGGGGAAGAGGGGCTGATGCCTCCATGAGCGCTCCCCCTCCCCATACACACTCACACACTTGTGTGCGCCACTGAGCTAAAGCATTCAAAGTCAGTCGGCACTCAACACACATGCTGCCAAGGAAGGTGGCATTAGCAGGTTCACCACA